GAAGGCCATCCACGCCCAGAAAGCCCGCGTAGATTGACAGGACGACCGACTCATGGGCGCCAGCGTTCTCGGCCGGAACGACGGGGGGAGCATCCGCAGAGGATAGTTGCAGCGGGGAGAACGGTACAACAGCGGACCACTTTTCAAATCTACCAGGGCTAATCCCGTATCAATCCATCAGCATTGACACGTGGACTCTCCGGAATAAATCGAAGCTCCTACCAAATAAAGATCCTCTACTAGTCTTTTGGGGATAAGGTGCCCGCGGCAGTGGCATGGCATTGGGTTGGGCGGCAGCCCCGCCGCCCCCCCATGATGATCGAAAATGTCATGATTCAATTAGGGGCACAAAGCCTAAAAAGCAGCAGGGGCGGTGCCGCCCCTATAAAGATCGAGAAAGCGATGATTCCACAACGAGCAAAATCCGAAAAGTAACGGGGGGGTTTGGGAGAGGCGGCAGCCCCCCTTTATGATGATCGAACAAAATGTTTCAATTATTTGCCGCGGAGCCCGTCCCGCCAGCGCGAGCACTTGCTCGAGCGGTGGCTCCTCCCCGCCGCTAAGCCCCAACGAGGTGCGCGGGAGGCCCAGCAACAACCGTGGCGAGTTGCTTGCAGACAGCGGTGCTGGGCCTCGCCAGCCTGGGGGCCACAAGTGACCAGCTTTCTTGCGTGTGAGGAGCTGGCTCCACAAAGCCAGCCGCCAACACCCCCGTGTGCTCAAGGGCATCCCCTAACCTGCTTATTGGAGACGGGGGAGAGGCCTGCGCAGTGCAAAAAAAACGCGCGAGACAAAACAAATGGTGTGCCAGAACGACCAGGCCACGTATGTTCCTAGGGGCGGGTTCCCGATAGAAAGTTAAATGCCGGCGTCTCCGTCACAGAGCTCACGCCAGCTCGGGGGAGTCCAATCCGCCAGGCTGAGCTCGGTGCGTGTTGTGGCAGCAACGCGAAAACTCGGCACGTGCGGAACCGGAGCCTCAAGGTCACGGAAGAGAGCTTGCGCCGCAGGCGGCAAGTGCTGTCCGAGGACAGGCAAGCAACCCGCCCAAAACGCCCAATACGCAGAGACAGAAGTCTGAGCAGCAGACATCAAGCCAAGGCCACCCAGCGACAAGGGCAACTCGGCGATCCGTCGAACACGATCAGGAAAGCCATCCCATACCGAGCGTGGGCGGGTTCCCGCTGACGCCGCCTGCCGCAGCTTAGTCATGAATTGCGAGGGATACAATCGTACGTGCTGCGCCCCTCCAGCGACACGACCGTTGCGCCTGGCCGGCAGCCAGGGCGTCTGTGCCAGCGCGCGTCCGCAACGCGTATTGCAGCGCTTGCGTAGCAGCGTCAAAAACGGTTTGCCCATGTTTTGCCAAGGGCATGCGAGACCAGCCATCCCCAGTCAATGCTTCGGACACCGTTTTTGTTTAAATTATGTTTTCTTCACAGTTTGTGGAGGGCTGTGAGGCAAGCCAAGACAAGGGCCGCGACAATTTCGGCCAAAACTTCCGCTCTAGCCAAACAACGCTCCAGCGGCACCTGCAAATGCCCCACACACACGCCCGAAAAACCCTTGCTGGTGCTCACCGCCACGGCAAGGGCTTCCGAGGTGATGCCCGGGAACGGGGTGAACTCCAAAACGTTTCTGGGGACACCGTTTCGCGGCTGTCCATGTTGCTTCGGCGCGCGCCAGCTCCGCGGCAGTGAGAAGCTGGTGGCGCAGGGCAGGCGCACGCCGCCTGCACGCGGCGCTTGTCAGCGCGAGTTCCCAGTTCTTTCGTGGCACTCACCCGTTGGAAGGCCAAGGGCTCCTCTCTCCCTTCTGGCCTGCGCGGTCAGCAAGAAGAGTGCCCCAGGCCGTGCGCAGGCCGTGGGGTTGCTGGCAACGTGGCGCAGAGCAGTGCCGAGCGCAGAAAACGCGGCAGATCTTGTAGCGTGGCTGCTCAGTGACGGAACTTTTCGGCGTGATCAACTTCATCGAGCGCTCGCCACAGGCGGTTCACGGCGCGCACGGCTGGCGTGAGGCAGCGAAGTCAGCTTGTCGGGCGCGCCCCGCTGACCTTCCTCCCACATCCGTGATGTTCGGGCGCGACAATGTGGGCCGCGTTGAGACCCGCATGCCTCCATCAGCACGGACTGCGCAAGTGTGGGCACATACACTCCCCAAAGCCTCGCTGCTGAGGAAAAAAGCGCCGCCTTTGGGACGTTTGCGGGCGGCAACTGGCCCGGCGCGCGTGCGCAAACGAGGGCTGGAGCAATTGCCAGGCGGCTCGGGCGCCAGTGCGGCCGCTCTGCCGTGGGAGGGCGGTTGCAGGGGTTTTGAATATGTTTCTAGGAACTCGCAAGCGTTGTCAAGCGAACCCACGCACGGGCAGTTTTCTGACTTGGGGAGGGTTCGCCCTGCACGCGCTGGCGCGAATGGGCTAGCATCCAAAGACTTCCGTTGTGCGGGAGCTAAAGCCCCCACGACGCTCTTAGTGCTACGAAGCCTTTTCAAGCTGATGGCTGCGAGCCTTCAGCGCTCCTGCAAAAGCTTGCGGCTTGAAGCGACCGTCGCTAGGCCGCTAGACATCAAAAGTTTTGCAGCCCCTTACTCCGAAACGCAAACCTCGTTTTTGGTTCGGAAGGTTGTTGACGCAATTCAGCAGCCGAAGCAGTCGACTCCGCGTCGCTCAGCCACCAGCAGACGTTCCGTCTGGACGAGCAGCATTCCAAGCGCCCGGCTCCGAAAGTCGAATGTGCAAGCCGCGTGTAACGTCCGAGTCCCATTGAAACAGCGCTATCAACTAAATCTCGTCACTCAGCCAGCAAGCATCCGCTGGGAAAGTGGCAGGAGAGCCTGAAAAGAAGGATGCGGAAGTAATGGGAAGGGTAGGACCGGGCGGAGCACACGGGGCCCGTCCTCCTGCAAGGTTGGCACCGTCACACCGTCACAGAGCTCACGCCAGCTTGGGGGACTGCAATCCGCCAAGATGAGCTTGGCATGCAGGTCCCCAGGTGGGCTGCGCCGGCTAGCGGAGCAAGCGCCGGCAAGGCGGCCAGTGGAAGCGGAGCGCGGGCCAGGGGTCCGGCCGTTGAGCACATAACACTAGTGCGCGGGGCAGCAAGGGCGTGCCAACGAAAAAGGAGTGGGGCGGCGGTCTGCCCCTCAAGAAGTCCACGCGAAGGCTGACCCGGGCCACAGGCAGCCACTGGGCGGGCGTCGGGCACAAGACCACAAAACTGGTCAGCGACGCGGCCCAAATCCGAGGCCCTCCAAGGAACAGTTTCAGAAGAGTTTCCTGCCCCAAAGCCGCCTTTGGCAACCACTGCGCAGTATGCGCTCGGGCTAGGTTGGCCCAAGTGCCCTAAACTAAAAAGTGCGGCTCAGCGCAACCGCGCCGTGTCCAACCCATGCGATTGCCACATCCACGAACACCGGCCAAGCACGCCACGTGTCAGGTGGCAAGAGGAAGCTGGGCTGGTCGGAGAAAGAAACCGGCGGCCACGTGGAGACTAGGATTTGCGCCGCGTGCCCGCCGTAGAGCCCACAGCCGTTGACAGCGCCTTGCCCAACCAGGCACCGGCCAGGCCAACGAACACCAGCCGCGCCAGCCTACGCTCCAGAGTGTAGGGCGGCAAGAGTGCCGCGCACAGCACAGCCGCGCAGCGGCCCCTAGTCTGCGCTGCACCGATCGCCCACCTCAAGCACAAAAACCAAGCGGCATCTGGAGTTGCCTTGCAGCAGCTCAGGATACGTGTGCTTTTTGGTCCTCCGAGCGAGGCGCAGCGCTGTCCCCGCCGCCTTGCCTTGGCAGCGACGCAATGGTAGTGTCGATGGCAAGCTGAGAGCCGTTTGAACACTGGTGCGGCTGCAGGACCAGACTGCAACAAAAGCATTGTGAAAAACACTGCTGCACTCGTTGGCGAAATGCAGGTCAAGCATGGCGGAGGCTGCCTGCTACAAAACGAAGGAACAACAACGGCGTGCAGCGGGTGAACACCCACTCTTTCAGCCAGGAAGCGAGGCATTTTAGAAACTAAATGGATCGCCGGCTGTGGGCGTGCTGACAAAACCGGCAAAAGGTGACAATGGAGAACGTTGCAGCGCAAGAAGTCCAGCGATCTGGGTGGGGGGAGCGGAAGGGGTGAGAGGAAGCTGGTCCCGCGCCCAGCTTGGCTTTTGCAGTAAATCTTGCAGTCGCCGTCCTGCGGCCCAGACCATTTGCGCAGGATGGGTGCCCTGAGAGGGGTGCGTTTTTGCGTGATCCAGCGAGCCTTTCAAGGGTGTCGCGCCCCTTGCTGTCGTGACGTACGACAAAGCGTCGTCCTCCAAAATGGAGGCTAAACAGGCGGAAGCAAATCGGGGGAAAACGTGGGCTGCCTCTCTGTGGTCCTTATCGCAAGCAGCCGACTCAGATATCATTAGAAGCTGGCCGTGTAAGGCGGCAGTCTACTGCTAGTTGTGTGCGGCATGTGTTTTTTGCTTTGTCGCGTCGGTTGTTTCTGGCTGCTTGACGTCCTTGGCCAAAGGGATGGCCTCATGCAAAGCGATCGTCCAGAAACGCGCAGGTTAGGTGGCTTGCTTGCGGCGAACTGCGGCTGCGTCACACGTCGCTCTCCAACTCTTTAACCAGCGCTAGTGAGATCTTAACTTCCATTAGTGGCTCCATGGTTGGTGGGAGCGCCTCGACTACATTGAGTCGGCAACGCACGCTTGTTTGTGTGTTTGTGCGTGACGCGAGCGCAGGTGCGCACGCGCTTGTCTGTGCGTGCGTTTGCGCTTCTGTTTGTGCGCATGTGTATCTGCGCGCTCGCATGTTTGTAAGTTTCTGTGTTTGCGTGCGCGCTTTTGTATTTGTGTGTGTGTTGTGCATTCGTGTGCGTTTCCGTCTGAATATATCTGATTCTGTGTGTTTGCGGTTGCCTGCGTGGCGTCGTGCGCGGCGTGAGAGGCGTGCGTGTGCGTGCGCCACAGACTTGGATTGTATGGCAATGCTCGAGTCAAACGTGCAAGGCTGGCGCTTTCCTCGCCGCTGAAATTCAAATGTCGAGCTGATCCTATTAAAAAGCCAGAGCTGGTCAGCTACCGGCACAGGGCCTGGGCAAACACACGTGCAGAGTGAAAGATCTTTGCAGCTGGGAGTCTGGCGCATGCATAAGACACGCTGGCCGTTCGTGGTGGCGGCATGCCCGGCAGGGCACTGGGCAGGGGGCAAGACCAGCAAGCAAGAGCCCAAAACCAGAACTTCGCCTGGACTGCGCATACTTCACGAAGTCCACTGCCACAGGCGAGGATTGGCAGGTGGAGAGCGCCTGGACAAGCCGGCGCCCAAGGCACTCATTGTGAGGACAATTGGACAACAAACAGCTAGCAGCAGCTCCTCCAGCAGCACCAGAATGGGGTGTCGGCCTGCTGATTACCCAGTCAGTAACCGCACCAACCGTAAATACAATCATGCGTCTCTCACACTAAGCTTAGAGCCGCAAATGGTGTTACCTTCTCTTTGCAGGTACCTGAGTTGGCACATGGGCACGCAATCGAACAGACATCACTTCGTGAGAAACGTTCGCGGACTGGGACGGGCACTTTCTGAAGCCCTCCGCGTCTTGCTGCTCGATGAGAGCCATGCCCTCGCGATCCAAGCCCTGGCGAGTCACAGTCCCGAAAGATGCGCATGGCATCGCAAGTAGTCATGGTACGTCCCAGCCCGACCCAAGACAATGTATACACTTGCCGCCGACCTTTTTCGAAATCCCCTGCGCATGCCTTTGGCACACTTAAATCCGGCTCGGGGCAAATTCCTTGCGCCTCGATGCGTGCGTTGTCTGGGTGCGGACCTTCCCGGTAGGTCCGCGCTAAGCTCGTTGAACCTGCAGTCGTTGACGCACGTCTCTTCTCGCACGCATCAAACGTTTTCCGGGGAAAAACGTCGACATGGGGAACCCCTCAGCTTTCACCGGGAACCATTCGTAGGCCCCAAAGCTGCACGCAAAATGAGTTTGAAACAATGCCCCGGCCTACACGGGTGTAGCCAAACTGCGCACCCCAGTGGCAAAAGTCTGAAGAAATCACCTGAGCAGCTCGCTCACAGTACCATATTGTTGCAGAGCAATGACATCACAGCGCTGTGGCTCTACCAGAATCTACAACGTGCGCTTCTACTACGCTCGTGATCCTCTCCCGTGGACGCGTGAAAACCATGTTTAGGGGGTCCCTGATTCAGGAAGAACCTACTGGTCCGGACTGAGGACCAGGCAAAAAGCGTGCCCTCCTGCTGCAGAAGGGGAGCAAGCAGCTTGCCGTACCGCGCCTCGCTTTGGGCGTTCACCTACCAGGTGCATCATGTCACGCAAATGCACGAGAATGCTTGCGTGCTGGAAAGCCCTGGCAGGCAAACCATCCTAGCTCGATCGTACAAAGGACTTTGCTCCAATGCTCCCTTTGCCGTCAGGCTTGGGTTTTACAACGTTTTCATTGTACATCCAGCAGGACCATCCGTTGTTCCCCACCTCCCTTCCTAATCATCCGCGACAAAGCGCGCATCCCGGACATCACATGCCGATCCTCTCCGGCCTGACCCACGAGCATCGGCACCAAGCCAACAGAAGGCCGCTTTGGGCCATGCCTCAACCCAAGACATCACAGCTAGACCGAATCATTCCTACGAGCACCGCCCTCGGGATTCCAACCAGAACCCTTGAAGCACAAGACAAACATCAAAAAAGACTGGAGAAAGCAACGCCTTTCCAGCATTATGAAATAGTTACAGTTATGAAGCTCAGGAAAGGTCTCAGACTCAGGCAAAAGCAGCTCCGCCAGAAATGGGAGCCTAGATGACAGGACCGGACAAGCTGCAAATTGTTTAAAAACCAACATAGCTTATGCCTTTCGACCACTGGAGAAGCCAAAAGGAGTAGCCGACTTGCACATGTTGGCTAGTCCCTAAAATAGAACTGCAAACCCCTACCTGACGCCTGATGTGCGGAGGCCTTGAAGATGCATCAGACTGTTGGTGCCACCATCGCATCAAGCACAGCAAGTTGATTCCAAGCGGCTGCATCTCAACAGAATGCTCTGCCTCGCAGGCACTGCGTGTGAATCCAAACGCAACGGATCTCACACCTCGTCCACGTGCATGGGCAAATGGCTGAACTCCTTGCTCTCTCGGAGCGCAGCCTACAGCTCGAAAAACCCAAGGCTCCGTCTCAGTTTGGGTCCGATCTGAAACCTTCGCTGTTTCAACATTCGATCTGAGCTCTCGGGCTAAAGTTTCTTGGTCTAAGGGGAGATCCCCCAAAGGCGTCCTGCAGCATAGTCGTGGAGTCATGCTATGTCACGCTGGCAGTCAAACATGTTGAGTGGCGGCTCTCAAGGCTCCGGCCTGTAGGCTGCGACCTCTGGCCCTGGTATGGCACACCCCTCCAGCCGCGCATGATGGGAGGGCCTGGCTTTCGGTCACATCGGCCCCCTTTCCGTGGGGCACCATGCCACGCTCAGCTTAGGTGAATTCGACTGGTTTGGAATTCGGTTAGGCAGCCCATGCACCCTTGGATCCAGGTGTTCAAACCCCGAGCCAAACCAGAAATGGGGGCGTGGCCTAAGCATCTTGGGCGGCGCTTTAGGCACAAATATCTGCCAAACAAATATATTTCTTGAAACACGTGGATCGTCGTAAGCTACAAGGCCGGGGAATCACAATGAATATTCACAGAGTCTCGATGCCCCCAGTAAAGAAAACTACAAGCTGGCGCAAAAGGGAAAAAGCCAAAGCAAACAACATGCAGGCGCCCGTTACCGCATTGCTAGCGATCCCAGGATAGTGGTTTCCGTACAGTAATGTCCAAGCGTGCTGCCTCATAACCAAAAAAACTGATAAAGGAAAAACTTTGCATATATTTGTTTCTGCCTTGTCTGTCTCTCTTTCCTGTCTCTCTCTCTCTCTCTCTCTCGCTCTGTGTCTGTCCGCCCGCCGGTCTGTCTGTCTTTGGCCTTGTTTGCAAAAAAAAGAAAGCTGTTGAGCGCCACACCCGAGCAGCACCACCCGCGAAAGCTTGGAAACGTCGAGGCGCGCAAAAACACACGCGGCCACCTGAGCGGACTGTCAAACTGACTCTTTCATTTGCGGATTGCGAGTAATTTGCAAGTGGGACTTTGGCAAGCTAATCTGAAACTCCCAGCCACCGTCTGGACAAGGGGCCTAATCAGTTGAATGTTTGCCTGCTGAACATGAGCTTTGCCCTGTGGCACCTTAATGGCGAAGCCCTCGGATGTTTGTCAACCGGGACTGCAAGCAAGCGAATGAGTGCTGCACAGATCCAGAGTAACGCAGGCCTGGGCTGGACCCATCGCAATCAAACAGGTTCACACCCAAAGGGCCTTCCCTGCCTGCGTGTGGTGAGATCACCGCCTTGAGCCCTGGATCTGGAGTGGCCCCCTCTGCAAATTCTGCCCCTGGCCGACGGTGATTTGTGTCCAAAATGATATCAACGTCTGATCTCAAGCTGCACTGACTCTTGCCCGCAACGAATCAGTCTAAGGCACCTAGCATTTGGCGCAGCTCCGCCCTGAGAATGTCAGGATCATCCTTGCGGCGCAAACACTTGGGAGGCTTTGTTGGAGGTTGCAGAGATGCGGAGACACACGCGCGCGCACACACACACACGCATCACAAGCCCTGGAGATCCCTGGAGCCTCCCGGCCTCACCGACTTCAATCTTGTTTGCGCGTTCTGCCCGGGAAGCCAAAAATTTGACACTCTGGCGCCTCATACCAGGAACCTGCGTGAATGGGGCGTCGCACGCCGGGGCGGCCTGGGCTCAGCTCACCCAGCTCAACTGCCCATGTCCTGCTTTGGCCCTGCTTCAACATTGTGCCAAACAGCATGAACTGGCATCACAATCACTTGCTGTCCGCTCACTTGTAAGCAGAGCGACCTCATCGTGCTACAGTTTAAAGTGGTTCGCGAACAGCAGTAAAGCATATGGCTGTGGGTCACAAATCGGGGCCAAAAAAAAGCCCTGGTAAATGGAACCAAAGCTTAAAACCTGCGGTGCCCTGGTGATCTAATTTTGACCCACAGCCATATCAAGTACATTTTAGTACTAGGGGATAGTTCAGTCAGACAAAGTTTTGGTTTTTGTCCTGTTTCCAAAGAGACATGATTGGGTCAAGAGCGGATCCAACTACCAAGCGGAATCCGTTTGGCAGGTGTGGGATAGTCAATCATTTCTTGTTAGAAAACGTGAAAGGCTTTTCGAGGTCCAAAGCTGAGCGCACACCTGCATTAAGTCTGATCATGCAGGATTCTGGCGGAAGGACTGCGATCATTTTGAGCTTCAAGAAACGCTGGCCAGTCCCCTCAAAGTGCGCTGGGACCAGAACAATTGTGATATTAAAGGTTGAGTATTCCCACCCACCAATATGATGTTTTTTGTCTTGTGCGAAGCGGAGCGTCCGCTTGACAGCTCCAGAAACTGAGTCTAAAGCTAGATCCCATGGCGAAGCTGCAATAGCCGGAAGTGGCCTCACTGTGCATGCAAACGAAACATCTCGGCAAGCCTGCCAGCACCAGTATTCTTGTAAGATCCTTTCATGGCTGGCTCAAGCACCGAGACTCGAGTACTAAGGACCTGGCCAAGGAAGACAGCAGCAAATCGCACAACTATAATGGTCCAGCAACATTCAGAACTCAAGGCAGGAAAAGCATATCGGAAAAATGTCTGTGACATGTGTAGTCAACCCCCCCCCCCAACTACCTTGACCTGCCAATCCAAGTTATCCAAGAGCAAAAAATAGCCTTTGCTTTGTGTGTTTTTGCATTGTCCCTCAAAAACCAAATAAGGCTCCCCTGCTGATACTCGCGAAGCTATAAAACGGAAACACAAAACGTTTTGTGGTGGCTTAGAGGGAGAACAGCAAAACACAAACGGAAGAAGAACTCTTGGCAACACCACCGAAATGTCGCGTCTGGTTTTTCCTTGCTTGGCTTTCTCATGTTGTTGGTTTCATTGTTTTCCCACAGGTTGGCGTTGTCTGCTGTTCCTTCAAAAAGCCAACAAACGCTGGTGCTTGTTTTCCTGCGGGTGCTCAAAAAAGACACGAGGATGTTCATTAAACATTGCTACTGTAAACTGAATTTCATAGCGGCAGAATAGAACAGGAAACCTCATTGCAAAATAGGATGCAACTCGTTCTGGGGTTCTTGAATTTTCGATCTTCAATGCAGGATGTTCTAGCACGTGCTAGCACATGGATTGCCCTAAGTGCGGATTTGAAGAACCCAAAAGGCAGGACCGGGAGTGCACGTTGCCAGCACCAAATTGTGGATGTGCACTTGCACTGCCTGTGTTTGTGCAGCATATATGCCAACAATAACATCTGTGAATTTCTGTCATTGGCTTGGCTCAGTTCTTGCTTGGTTCAAACCACATGGAGTACGATAAGGACAATAACCCTTTCGAAGTTAAGTTCGACTCCAAATTTATCTAGCCATGGTGACAGCTATGTTCTCCAGATGTTTTTTGACATGCGCAAGAAACTGCAAACGATTAAAATTGAATTTGGTTTGAACTCGAAAGCGTTTTAAACTCAATACAAAACGTTTCTCAAATAGACTGAATTAGACTGTACATGAAATTATGACTTTTGTATGTCATGTTGATGTCAGTTGCAAGTAGGAATGAGTTCCTTTTCCCCAAGTTGATGATTTGCTGAATTTCCCTGCCAACCAAAATCAAAAAACAACCCAACAACAGAGCCGCTACAGGCGCACTGCTCTTAGTTGAACGGTTGTGCTTTTTAAGCTGGAGCTGCCCAAGTGCACTTTGTACACTCCAATGTGACTTTAAGTGCACTTCGCGCACCAACGTTGATCTCAACTTCTACCTGGTTCGAATTTGCATGGAGTTGCGTCTCAAGGCGTTTGTCATCCGAAGTCTGGCAAAAAACCTCAGTTCTGGGGCCTAACACACACTTTGACTGGAAAAGACAACCCTACTCAAGTGCCAATTTAGACACATTCAGTTCTGTCCTGCTTCAAGCCTATCTAACTTCCAGTTTTTAATTCAAACTTCACAAAGAGGATAGATTGTGTTCTTCCCTTATTGGGTGCTATGGGTGTTCTATTTACATTTAATTTGAATCCGTCTTTGGAACAGGCTTCATCTTTCTTGGTTGACAAAGCCCCTTTTTAAGCTCGCCCTTTTGTAAGGTTCTCCAAACCAAATAGGCTTGCAGCTCATATGTCCTCAAAGTTTGAGTAGTTTGACTAGAACAGTAAGGAAAGAACTCAGGTACAATACTGCCGCGAATGGAAAACTGGGGCTGTAAAGGAGCGCGGAGCCTCCTACCAAGTTCTTAATGCTTCGTGAAAGGAGCTTTTCAATGAGCCGCTTTATTGAGTTGTCAGGGGCAAACGGGGTGGCTTTGCACGGAGCCGTGTAAGAAGCCTGAATAGGAGCTCCAATAGGAGCCTTCTGACGCCTTGCAAAATTTGGAGCCGTGAAGGAGCTTTGTGAAACCATGACTTGAAAGGCTGGATCGCCCTGGGTACAGATTTGAAGATGCGCAAGAAGAATTGTCAGAACTTCAATCTTCAATGCAGGATGCTCTAGCACGTGTGGATTGCACGAAGTACCGATGCTAGGCGTGCATTTTTAGAGTCTTATTTTTAGAAGCTGGAGCGTAAAACGCATGCATTGTTACAGCCAAAACGTCAATTTCATACACACTAACACTACACATCTACATCCAAAGGCGGGCTTTGCAATACCTGCAGCCAGACAAACGAGGACAGACAACCGTAGACGCGAGCACGTGCACATTCTCATGGAAGCTTCTGCCGGAACCCCAGACCGTGAAGGAAAGGTTCACAACCAATCCCGAAACAAAAAACGAGATAGAGGGTAGAGGATAACCCCCCCCCCCCTTAACCCCCCCCCCCCGCCCGACGTCAAATACGTAGGTTTGTTTTTTTTGGGGGGGAAATAGTAAAAGGAGAATTCAAAGAATTATTCTTTCTACGATTTTTCTCCAACAGCAACACAACAAACAGAAAACAAAATCCAGAACAACAACACAACAAAATAAATAATCACAACCAACAACAAACATAATTAATCACAGCATACAACATGAAATAATTCAATCAAGCATACCAACAAAACAGCAAAGCTCTAAATCATCAAAGAACCCGAACGCAAAAACACACATCAACAAAAAACAAAGCAACATACCAACAAACAATATCACAAGAGTATCAAACAAAATAAAAACAAACAGCCAAAGCACAAAAAAACTGAAGAAGCACACCAAGTCTAAACAACGCACTTTGAAAGAGATAAGCAAATCAGGAAAATATAATAGTTCAATCTTTACAAACGATAAGTATAATACAATTATAACATATAATATTTTACATGTTATTATTATAGTATGATTGTAATTTCAGTTCAGGATAATAATTTAGTTGATACGTTTTGCTTCTTTCATAAACGATTTCTAAAATAATATTAATATATCTCACTGTATTTCTAACATTAAACTTTTCACTTTCAACATATGATTTAACGTCTTCTTTTACATCAAACCCTTCCCTTCTGCGATTTACTAACATCTTTAATATGTTCTCAATCATTTCATACTTTTTCTTACTGATTTTAAGAAATGCTCTAACATAATCATAAGACGGGATATTGTAAACAGTAAGAAATATTAAGATATCATCTTCAACATTTCTATTATGTCTTCTTTGTATTCTCAACACACAATTGATTATAGCTTGGTTATCTCTCCAGTTTTTACAATTTTCACATATATCTTCTTCATCCGTTGAATAATCAATAATATCATTTGCTATACCATTAGGTAAATTTAGTTTGTATATTTCCATATTTTTTTTGAAGTGGCAACAGTCGTAGCATTTCTTATTGATATAATTGTTGCTTTCGGTTTCCACCATTTCTATCTTAATTTATTAATTCAGTATTTCTTTAAGTCATTTTAAGTCATTAATTAAGAAAAATATGAAACATAATTCAAGCTTTACAATCGATAAGTATAATACAATTATAACATACAATATTTTACATGTTATAATATGATTAAACCTGTTTTCAGTGTTTCCAGTCTCCTATGTTGTTCCAAGAACTGCTCAAAATGTTTCTGATATTATACCAAATTAAGGTAACGTCATAATCTTTCATTGGTGCTCTTTGTTGTATTAAATAACGCAACACTGATATCAAGGTATAGTAATTAAACTGCATTGCTGTCATTCCTCCTCTTTCATTAATACTATTACCATTATGTTTAACGAGTTCTTCTTTCATTACGTTTTCGTAAATCTCTTTTATCCATTGATGATTTTGTTCTCCGTACTCGCCGAACATATCTAGATATATATCTTCCGTTATCGTTTTAATTATTTCAATGACTTGTTTATACGATGGATAGGGATTATCCTTAATGAAACTCAATATTATCTTTCTATCCTGTTCCAGCTCTTTTTCTGTCACTCCTATCATTTGCATTTTCCTCTTATTATATTAAGTCTTTATTCCTTTAAGTCATTTAGTCAGTAAGAAAAACTGAGAAAAATAAAATATTTCAATCTTTTACAAATGATAAGTATGGATGAAACACACTTACATTATAATTATAACATATACGGGTATAAATGTTATAATCATAGTATGAGTTCAGGTGTTAAGTGTTTTAATTTGTGCAGGTTCGGATGATACAGTTGCCCGTTTCAAGTGATACAGTTGTCCGGTTCAATTGGTACGGTTGCAGCTGTCCGTTTCAGATGATGCAGTTGTCCGTTTCAGATGATACAGTTGTCCGTTTCAAGTGATACAGTTGTCCGTTTCAAGTGATACGGTTGAACGTTGCAAATCATACGGTTGTAGACTATAGCATGTATAATCGATCATTTTCAATTGCTTAGAATTCCATTATTTTTTTTTACTGTATTGTCGTTGGATGAACCTAGAAATTTCAAGTTTCAAGCCCAAGCCCAAACTGAAAATCCTTAATCCGTCAAACTCACCGTTGTCTCCCCATGTTTCCTTGTTTCCACTTGGCAAACGTTGCGCAGCTTCAACATGTTTATTATTCCTGATGTTGCCACAATCCTTTTTACATAAATCTCTAGGTTTCCAAGTTGTAATGCTATTCCAGAGCCTAGTGCTTTTTCTATAATTAAATCCATATTTACAGTAATCTACATCTTTAAATTCAGACTCATCCATCAACTCCTGATTTTTTTTAATATTACAAAATATTTAGGATTAAAATATGTGATAATCTCAATAGTTTTTAAGACAATACTATTTGCATATTCGATATTTATTTCCCCTAGTTTTTGCACACTATATTCAGTGCATGGGGGACTAGTCCAAATAAAATCAAACTGGTTTCTGTCAAACTGTTTGTAATCCCACTCCAAAATATCACAGTTGATATCAGCACTTTTCAAGTCTAATGATATCACATTGAAACCTAAATCACGAGCAACTTTACCAATAGAACCACTGCCTGAAAATAATTCTAACAAATTCATTTATTAGAATTATTTAGATATTAAATTATTCAAATAATACATATACTCCATCATCATTTTTTGTAGTTTTATAAAACTCTAATGTTTGTTGCTTTGGTTGCTTGATTTTATTACTATTCAACATTTCAC